CAAACTAGTGACGGGTAATACAAACAAAGTAACATAGAATCAAACCAGCTACCTTCTGATTACAGCAGTACTATAATCACTCAACCACCAAGCTGACATAAAAACTTTTACTCATACCAGTACTCATAACGTTTTTAATATGTTACATTTTAACAAGTTACCTTTAAGCATGTTACATTTTAAAAGGTTACAATTTTACATGTTACATTTTTACATGTTACATTTTAATATGTTACATTTTAACACGTTACATTTAAGCATGTTACATTTTAAAATGTTACATTTTAACACCGTACATTTTAACATGTTACATTTTAACTTCTTATATTTCCACATGTTACATTTTTACATGTTACATTTTAACATGTTTTACGATCAAGTCATTCCCTTGCAACTGACCTGGTAGCCTCGTCTAGTATGAGGATGGATGGGATTTTCAGTAGAGCGCTAAGAGCGCTTGTAGCGGCGATAGCTATCCTCTGTTTCTGGCCCCCAGACACGGTAACTCCTCTCTCCCCCAGAATGGTACTGTAGCCATCAGGGAACTGTCGGATAAAACTGTCAGCATTGGCCAGCCCAGCAGCCACGTACACCTGTGACAAAGATTAATTAAATTAGTAATACCAAACTAGTGACAGGTAATACAAACAAAGTAACGTAGAATCAAACCAGCTACCTTCTGATTACAAGGCGAGTACAGCAGTACTATAATCACTCAACCACCAAGCTGACATAAAAACCGTCGTCGTCGTCGTCGTCGTCGTCGTCGTCGTCGTCGTCGTCGTCGTCGTCGTCGTCGTCGTCGTCGTCGTCGTCGTCGTCGTCGTCTTCTTCTACATTTTTACATTTTACATATTTACATGTTACATTTTAACATTTTTTATGATCAAGTCTTTCCCTTGCAACTGACCTGGTAGCCTCGTCTAGTATGAGGATGGATGGGATTTTCAGTAGAGCGCGGGCGATAGCTATCCTCTGTTTCTGGCCCCCAGACACGGTAACTCCTCTCTCCCCCAGAATGGTACTGTAGCCATCAGGGAACTGTCGGATAAAACTGTCAGCATTGGCCAGCCCAGCAGCCTCGTACACCTGTGACAAAGATTAATTAAATTAGTAATACCAAACTAGTGACAGGTAATACAAACAAAGTAACATAGAATCAAACTAGCTACCTTCTGAATACAGCAGTACTATAATCACTCAACCACAAAGCTGACATAAAAAACTTTTACTCATACCAGTACTCATAACGTTTTTAATATGTTACATTTTAACAAGTTACCTTTAAGCATGTTACATTTTAAAAGGTTACAATTTTACATGTTACATTTTTACATGTTACATTTTAATATGTTACATTTTAACACGTTACATTTAAGCATGTTACATTTTAAAATGTTACATTTTAACACGTTACATTTTAACGTGTTACATTTTAACTTCTTATATTTCCACATGTTACATTTTTACATGTTACATTTTAACATGTTTTACGATCAAGTCATTCCCTTGCAACTGACCTGGTAGCCTCGTCTAGTATGAGGATGGATGGGATTTTCAGTAGAGCGCAGGCGATAGCTATCCTCTGTTTCTGGCCCCCAGACACGGTAACTCCTCTCTCCCCCAGAATGGTAACTGTCAGCATTGGCCAGCCCAGCAGCCTCGTACACCTGTGACAAAGATTAATTAAATTAGTAATACCAAACTAGTGACAGGTAATACAAACAAAGTAACATAGAATCAAACCAGCTACCTTCTAATTACAAGGCGAGTAAAGCAGTACTATAATCACTCAACCACCAAGCTGACATAAAAACTTTTACTCATACCAGTACTCATAACGTTTTTAATGTGTTACATTTTAACAAGTTACCTTTAAGGATGTTACATTTTAAAAGGTTACAATTTTACATGTTACATTTTTACATGTTACATTTTAATATGTTACATTTTAACAAGTTACATTTAAGCATGTTACATTTTAAAATGTTACATTTTAACACGTTACATTTTAACATGTTACATTTTAACTTCTTATATTTCCACATGTTACATTTTTACATGTTACATTTTAACATGTTTTACGATCAAGTCATTCCCTTGCAACTGACTTGGTAGCCTCGTCTAGTATGAGGATGGATGGGATTTTGACAGGTAATACAAACAAAGTAACATAGAATCAAACCAGCTACCTTCTGATTACAAGGCGAGTACAGCAGTACTATAATCACTCAACCACCAAGCTGACATAAAAACCGTCGTCGTCGTCGTCGTCGTCGTCGTCGTCGTCGTCTACATTTTTACATTTTACATATTTACATGTTACATTTTAACATTTTTTATGATCAAGTCTTTCCCTTGCAACTGACCTGGTAGCCTCGTCTAGTATGAGGATGGATGGGATTTTCAGTAGAGCGCGGGCGATAGCTATCCTCTGTTTCTGGCCCCCAGACACGGTAACTCCTCTCTCCCCCAGAATGGTACTGTAGCCATCAGGGAACTGTCGGATAAAACTGTCAGCATTGGCCAGCCCAGCAGCCTCGTACACCTGTGACAAAGATTAATTAAATTAGTAATACCAAACTAGTGACGGGTAATACAAACAAAGTAACATAGAATCAAACTAGCTACCTTCTGAATACAGCAGTACTATAATCACTCAACCACAAAGCTGACATAAAAAACTTTTACTCATACCAGTACTCATAACGTTTTTAATATGTTACATTTTAACAAGTTACCTTTAAGCATGTTACATTTTAAAAGGTTACAATTTTACATGTTACATTTTTACATGTTACATTTTAATATGTTACATTTTAACACGTTACATTTAAGCATGTTACATTTTAAAATGTTACATTTTAACACGTTACATTTTAACATGTTACATTTTAACTTCTTATATTTCCACATGTTACATTTTTACATGTTACATTTTAACATGTTTTACGATCAAGTCATTCCCTTGCAACTGACCTGGTAGCCTCGTCTAGTATGAGGATGGATGGGATTTTCAGTAGAGCGCAGGCGATAGCTATCCTCTGTTTCTGGCCCCCAGACACGGTAACTCCTCTCTCCCCCAGAATGGTAACTGTCAGCATTGGCCAGCCCAGCAGCCTCGTACACCTGTGACAAAGATTAATTAAATTAGTAATACCAAACTAGTGACAGGTAATACAAACAAAGTAACATAGAATCAAACCAGCTACCTTCTAATTACAAGGCGAGTAAAGCAGTACTATAATCACTCAACCACCAAGCTGACATAAAAACTTTTACTCATACCAGTACTCATAACGTTTTTAATGTGTTACATTTTAACAAGTTACCTTTAAGGATGTTACATTTTAAAAGGTTACAATTTTACATGTTACATTTTTACATGTTACATTTTAATATGTTACATTTTAACAAGTTACATTTAAGCATGTTACATTTTAAAATGTTACATTTTAACACGTTACATTTTAACATGTTACATTTTAACTTCTTATATTTCCACATGTTACATTTTTACATGTTACATTTTAACATGTTTTACGATCAAGTCATTCCCTTGCAACTGACTTGGTAGCCTCGTCTAGTATGAGGATGGATGGGATTTTGACAGGTAATACAAACAAAGTAACATAGAATCAAACCAGCTACCTTCTGATTACAAGGCGAGTACAGCAGTACTATAATCACTCAACCACCAAGCTGACATAAAAACCGTCGTCGTCGTCGTCGTCGTCGTCGTCGTCGTCGTCGTCGTCGTCGTCGTCGTCGTCGTCTTCTTCTACATTTTTACATTTTACATATTTACATGTTACATTTTAACATTTTTTAAGATCAAGTCTTTCCCTTGCAACTGACCTGGTAGCCTCGTCTAGTATGAGGATGGATGGGATTTTCAGTAGAGCGCGGGCGATAGCTATCCTCTGTTTCTGGCCCCCAGACACGGTAACTCCTCTCTCCCCCAGAATGGTACTGTAGCCATCAGGGAACTGTCGGATAAAACTGTCAGCATTGGCCAGCCCAGCAGCCTCGTACACCTGTGACAAAGATTAATTAAATTAGTAATACCAAACTAGTGACGGGTAATACAAACAAAGTAACATAGAATCAAACCAGCTACCTTCTGATTACAGCAGTACTATAATCACTCAACCACCAAGCTGACATAAAAACTTTTACTCATACCAGTACTCATAACGTTTTTAATATGTTACATTTTAACAAGTTACCTTTAAGCATGTTACATTTTAAAAGGTTACAATTTTACATGTTACATTTTTACATGTTACATTTTAATATGTTACATTTTAACACGTTACATTTAAGCATGTTACATTTTAAAATGTTACATTTTAACACCGTACATTTTAACATGTTACATTTTAACTTCTTATATTTCCACATGTTACATTTTTACATGTTACATTTTAACATGTTTTACGATCAAGTCATTCCCTTGCAACTGACCTGGTAGCCTCGTCTAGTATGAGGATGGATGGGATTTTCAGTAGAGCGCTAAGAGCGCTTGTAGCGGCGATAGCTATCCTCTGTTTCTGGCCCCCAGACACGGTAACTCCTCTCTCCCCCAGAATGGTACTGTAGCCATCAGGGAACTGTCGGATAAAACTGTCAGCATTGGCCAGCCCAGCAGCCACGTACACCTGTGACAAAGATTAATTAAATTAGTAATACCAAACTAGTGACAGGTAATACAAACAAAGTAACGTAGAATCAAACCAGCTACCTTCTGATTACAAGGCGAGTACAGCAGTACTATAATCACTCAACCACCAAGCTGACATAAAAAACCGTCGTCGTCGTCGTCGTCGTCGTCGTCGTCGTCGTCGTCGTCGTCGTCGTCGTCGTCGTCGTCGTCGTCGTCGTCGTCGTCGTCGTCGTCGTCGTCTTCTTCTACATTTTTACATTTTACATATTTACATGTTACATTTTAACATTTTTTATGATCAAGTCTTTCCCTTGCAACTGACCTGGTAGCCTCGTCTAGTATGAGGATGGATGGGATTTTCAGTAGAGCGCGGGCGATAGCTATCCTCTGTTTCTGGCCCCCAGACACGGTAACTCCTCTCTCCCCCAGAATGGTACTGTAGCCATCAGGGAACTGTCGGATAAAACTGTCAGCATTGGCCAGCCCAGCAGCCTCGTACACCTGTGACAAAGATTAATTAAATTAGTAATACCAAACTAGTGACAGGTAATACAAACAAAGTAACATAGAATCAAACTAGCTACCTTCTGAATACAGCAGTACTATAATCACTCAACCACAAAGCTGACATAAAAAACTTTTACTCATACCAGTACTCATAACGTTTTTAATATGTTACATTTTAACAAGTTACCTTTAAGCATGTTACATTTTAAAAGGTTACAATTTTACATGTTACATTTTTACATGTTACATTTTAATATGTTACATTTTAACACGTTACATTTAAGCATGTTACATTTTAAAATGTTACATTTTAACACGTTACATTTTAACATGTTACATTTTAACTTCTTATATTTCCACATGTTACATTTTTACATGTTACATTTTAACATGTTTTACGATCAAGTCATTCCCTTGCAACTGACCTGGTAGCCTCGTCTAGTATGAGGATGGATGGGATTTTCAGTAGAGCGCAGGCGATAGCTATCCTCTGTTTCTGGCCCCCAGACACGGTAACTCCTCTCTCCCCCAGAATGGTAACTGTCAGCATTGGCCAGCCCAGCAGCCTCGTACACCTGTGACAAAGATTAATTAAATTAGTAATACCAAACTAGTGACAGGTAATACAAACAAAGTAACATAGAATCAAACCAGCTACCTTCTAATTACAAGGCGAGTAAAGCAGTACTATAATCACTCAACCACCAAGCTGACATAAAAACTTTTACTCATACCAGTACTCATAACGTTTTTAATGTGTTACATTTTAACAAGTTACCTTTAAGGATGTTACATTTTAAAAGGTTACAATTTTACATGTTACATTTTTACATGTTACATTTTAATATGTTACATTTTAACAAGTTACATTTAAGCATGTTACATTTTAAAATGTTACATTTTAACACGTTACATTTTAACATGTTACATTTTAACTTCTTATATTTCCACATGTTACATTTTTACATGTTACATTTTAACATGTTTTACGATCAAGTCATTCCCTTGAGTCGTCGTCGTCGTCGTCGTCGTCGTCGTCGTCGTCGTCGTCGTCGTCGTCGTCGTCGTCGTCGTCGTCGTCGTCGTCGTTGTCGTCGTCGTCGTCGTCGTCGTCGTCGTCGTCGTCGTCGTCGTCGTCTACATTTTTACATTTTACATATTTACATGTTACATTTTAACATTTTTTATGATCAAGTCTTTCCCTTGCAACTGACCTGGTAGCCTCGTCTAGTATGAGGATGGATGGGATTTTCAGTAGAGCGCGGGCGATAGCTATCCTCTGTTTCTGGCCCCCAGACACGGTAACTCCTCTCTCCCCCAGAATGGTACTGTAGCCATCAGGGAACTGTCGGATAAAACTGTCAGCATTGGCCAGCCCAGCAGCCTCGTACCACCTGTGACAAAGATTAATTAAATTAGTAATACCAAACTAGTGACAGGTAATACAAACAAAGTAACATAGAATCAACTAGCTACCTTCTGAATACAGCAGTACTATAATCACTCAACCACAAAGCTGACATAAAAAACTTTTACTCATACCAGTACTCATAATGTTTTTAATATGTTACATTTTAACAAGTTACCTTTAAGCATGTTACATTTTAAAAGGTTACAATTTTACATGTTACATTTTTTACATGTTACATTTTAATATGTACATTTTAACACGTTACATTTAAGCATGTTACATTTTAAAATGTTACATTTTAACACGTTACATTTTAACATGTTACATTTTAACTTCTTATATTTCCACATGTTACATTTTTACATGTTACATTTTAACATGTTTTACGATCAAGTCATTCCCTTGCAACTGACCTGGTAGCCTCGTCTAGTATGAGGTTGGATGGGATTTTCAGTAGAGCGCAGGCGATAGCTATCCTCTGTTTCTGGCCCCCAGACACGGTAACTCCTCTCTCCCCCAGAATGGTAACTGTCAGCATTGGCCAGCCCAGCAGCCTCGTACACCTGTGACAAAGATTAATTAAATTAGTAATACCAAACTAGTGACAGGTAATACAAACAAAGTAACATAGAATCAAACCAGCTACCTTCTAATTACAAGGCGAGTAAAGCAGTACTATAATCACTCACCACCAAGCTGACATAAAAACTTTTACTCATACCAGTACTCATAACGTTTTTAATGTGTTACATTTTAACAAGTTACCTTTAAGGATGTTACATTTTAAAAGTTACAATTTTACATGTTACATTTTTACATGTTACATTTTAATATGTTACATTTTAACAAGTTACATTTAAGCATGTTACATTTTAAAATGTTACATTTTAACACGTTACATTTAACATGTTACATTTTAACTTCTTATATTTCCACATGTACATTTTTACATGTTACATTTTAACATGTTTTACGATCATGTCATTCCCTTGCAACTGACTTGGTAGCCTCGTCTAGTATGAGGATGGATGGGATTTTGACAGGTAATACAAACAAAGTAACATAGAATCAAACCAGCTACCTTCTGATTACAAGGCGAGTACAGCAGTACTATAATCACTCAACCACCAAGCTGACATAAAAACCGTCGTCGTCGTCGTCGTCGTCGTCGTCGTCTTCTTCTACATTTTTACATTTACATATTTACATGTTACATTTTACATTTTTTAAGATCAAGTCTTTCCCTTGCAACTGACCTGGTAGCCTCGTCTAGTATGAGGATGGATGGGATTTTCAGTAGAGCGCGGGCGATAGCTATCCTCTGTTTCTGGCCCCCAGACACGGTAACTCCTCTCTCCCCCAGAATGGTACTGTAGCCATCAGGGAACTGTCGGATAAAACTGTCAGCATTGGCCAGCCCAGCAGCCTCGTACACCTGTGACAAAGATTAATTAAATTAGTAATACCAAACTAGTGACGGTAATACAAACAAAGTAACATAGAATCAAACCAGCTACCTTCTGATTACAGCAGTACTATAATCACTCAACCACCAAGCTGACATAAAAACTTTTACTCATACCAGTACTCATAACGTTTTTAATATGTTACATTTTAACAAGTTACCTTTAAGCATGTTACATTTTAAAAGGTTACAATTTTACATGTTACATTTTTATGTACATTTAATTTAATATGTTACATTTTAACACGTTACATTTAAGCATGTTACATTTTAAAAATGTTACATTTTAACACCGTACATTTTAACATGTTACATTTTAACTTCTTATATTTCCACATGTTACATTTTTACATGTTACATTTTAACATGTTTTACGATCAAGTCATTCCCTTGCAACTGACCTGGTAGCCTCGTCTAGTATGAGGATGGATGGGATTTTCAGTAGAGCGCTAAGAGCGCTTGTAGCGGCGATAGCTATCCTCTGTTTCTGGCCCCCAGACACGGTAACTCCTCTCTCCCCAGAATGGTACTGTAGCCATCAGGGAACTGTCGGATAAAACTGTCAGCATTGGCCAGCCCAGCAGCCACGTACACCTGTGACAAAGATTAATTAAATTAGTAATACCAAACTAGTGACAGGTAATACAAACAAAGTAACGTAGAATCAAACCAGCTACCTTCTGATTACAAGGCGAGTACAGCAGTACTATAATCACTCAACCACCAAGCTGACATAAAAACCGTCGTCGTCGTCGTCGTCGTCGTCGTCGTCGTCGTCGTCGTCGTCGTCGTCGTCGTCGTCGTCGTCGTCGTCGTCGTCGCGTCGTCGTCGTCGTCGTCAACATTTTTACATTTTACATATTTACATGTTACATTTTAACATTTTTTATGATCAAGTCTTTCCCTTGCAACTGACCTGGTAGCCTCGTCTAGTATGAGAGGTGGATGGGATTTTCAGTAGAGGCGCGGCGATAGCTATCTCTGTTTCTGGCCCCCAGACACGGTAACTCTCTCTCCCCCAGAATGGTACTGTAGCCATCAGGGAACTGTCGGATAAAACTGTCAGCATTGGCCAGCCCAGCAGCCTCGTACACCTGTGACAAAGATTAATTAAATTAGTAATACCAAACTAGTGACAGGTAATACAAACAAAGTAACATAGAATCAAACTAGCTACCTTCTGAATACAGCAGTACTATAATCACTCAACCACAAAGCTGACATAAAAAACTTTTACTCATACCAGTACTCTTAACGTTTTTAATATGTTACATTTTAACAAGTTACCTTTAAGCATGTTACATTTTAAAAGGTTACAATTTTACATGTTACATTTTTACATGTTACATTTTAATATGTTACATTTTACACGTTACATTTAAGCATGTTACATTTTAAAATGTTACATTTTAACACGTTACATTTTAACATGTTACATTTTAACTTCTTATATTTCCACATGTTACATTTTTACATGTTACATTTTAACATGTTTTACGATCAAGTCATTCCCTTGCAACTGACCTGGTAGCCTCGTCTAGTATGAGGATGGATGGGATTTTCAGTAGAGCGCAGGCGATAGCTATCCTCTGTTTCTGGCCCCCAGACACGGTAACTCCTCTCTCCCCCAGAATGGTAACTGTCAGCATTGGCCAGCCCAGCAGCCTCGTACACCTGTGACAAAGATTAATTAAATTAGTAATACCAAACTAGTGACAGGTAATACAAACAAAGTAACATAGAATCAAACCAGCTACCTTCTAATTACAAGGCGAGTAAAGCAGTACTATAATCACTCAACCACCAAGCTGACATAAAAACTTTTACTCATACCAGTACTCATAACGTTTTTAATGTGTTACATTTTAACAAGTTACCTTTAAGGATGTTACATTTTAAAAGGTTACAATTTTACATGTTACATTTTTACATGTTACATTTTAATATGTTACATTTTAACAAGTTACATTTAAGCATGTTACATTTTAAAATGTTACATTTTAACACGTTACATTTTAACATGTTACATTTTAACTTCTTATATTTCCACATGTTACATTTTTACATGTTACATTTTAACATGTTTTACGATCAAGTCATTCCTTGAGTCGTCGTCGTCGTCGTCGTCGTCGTCGTCGTCGTCGTCGTCGTCGTCGTCGTCGTCGTCGTCGTCGTCGTCGTCGTCGTCGTCGTCGTCGTCGTCGTCGTCGTCGTCGTCGTCGTCGTCGTCGTCGTCGTCGTCGTCGTCGTCTTCTTCTTCTACATTTTTACATTTTACATATTTACATGTTACATTTTAACATTTTTTAAGATCAAGTCTTTCCCTTGCAACTGACCTGGTAGCCTCGTCTAGTATGAGGATGGATGGGATTTTCAGTAGAGCGCGGGCGATAGCTATCCTCTGTTTCTGGCCCCCAGACACGGTAACTCCTCTCTCCCCCAGAATGGTACTGTAGCCATCAGGGAACTGTCGGATAAAACTGTCAGCATTGGCCAGCCCAGCAGCCTCGTACACCTGTGACAAAGATTAATTAAATTAGTAATACCAAACTAGTGACGGGTAATACAAACAAAGTAACATAGAATCAAACTAGCTACCTTCTGAATACAGCAGTACTATAATCACTCAACCACAAAGCTGACATAAAAACTTTTACTCATACCAGTACTCATAACGTTTTTAATATGTTACATTTTAACAAGTTACCTTTAAGCATGTTACATTTTAAAAGGTTACAATTTTACATGTTACATTTTTACATGTTACATTTTAATATGTTACATTTTAACACTTTACATTTAAGCATGTTACATTTTAAAATGTTACATTTTAACACGTTACATTTTAACATGTTACATTTTAACTTCTTATATTTCCACATGTTACATTTTTACATGTTACATTTTAACATGTTTTACGATCAAGTCATTCCCTTGCAACTGACCTGGTAGCCTCGTCTAGTATGAGGATGGATGGGATTTTCAGTAGAGCGCAGGCGATAGCTATCCTCTGTTTCTGGCCCCCAGACACGGTAACTCCTCTCTCCCCAGAATGGTAACTGTCAGCATTGGCCAGCCCAGCAGCCTCGTACACCTGTGACAAAGATTAATTAAATTAGTAATACCAAACTAGTGACAGGTAATACAAACAAAGTAACATAGAATCAAACCAGCTACCTTCTAATTACAAGGCGAGTAAAGCAGTACTATAATCACTCAACCACCAAGCTGACATAAAAACTTTTACTCATACCAGTACTCATAACGTTTTTAATGTGTTACATTTTAACAAGTTAACTTTAAGGATGTTACATTTTAAAGGTTACAATTTTACATGTTACATTTTTACATGTTACATTTTAATATGTTACATTTTAACAAGTTACATTTAAGCATGTTACATTTTAAAATGTTACATTTTAACACGTTACATTTTAACATGTTACATTTTAACTTCTTATATTTCCACATGTTACATTTTTACATGTTACATTTTAACATGTTTTACGATCAAGTCATTCCCTTGCAACTGACTTGGTAGCCTCGTCTAGTATGAGGATGGATGGGATTTTGACAGGTAATACAAACAAAGTAACATAGAATCAAACCAGCTACCTTCTGATTACAAGGCGAGTACAGCAGTACTATAATCACTCAACCACCAAGCTGACATAAAAACCGTCGTCGTCGTCGTCGTCGTCGTCGTCGTCGTCGTCGTCGTCGTCGTCGTCGTCGTCGTCGTCGTCGTCGTCGTCGTCGTCGTCGTCGTCGTCGTCGTCGTCGTCGTCGTCGTCGTCGTCGTCGTCGTCGTCGTCGTCGTCGTCGTCGTCGTCGTCGTCGTCGTCGTCGTCGTCGTCGTCGTCGTCGTCGTCGTCGTCGTCGTCGTCGTCGTCGTCGTCGTCGTCGTCGTCGTCGTCGTCGTCGTCGTCGTCGTCGTCTTCTTCTTCTACATTTTTACATTTTACATATTTACATGTTACATTTTAACATTTTTTAAGATCAAGTCTTTCCCTTGCAACTGACCTGGTAGCCTCGTCTAGTATGAGGATGGATGGGATTTTCAGTAGAGCGCGGGCGATAGCTATCCTCTGTTTCTGGCCCCCAGACACGGTAACTCCTCTCTCCCCCAGAATGGTACTGTAGCCATCAGGGAACTGTCGGATAAAACTGTCAGCATTGGCCAGCCCAGCAGCCTCGTACACCTGTGACAAAGATTAATTAAATTAGTAATACCAAACTAGTGACGGGTAATACAAACAAAGTAACATAGAATCAAACTAGCTACCTTCTGAATACAGCAGTACTATAATCACTCAACCACAAAGCTGACATAAAAAACTTTTACTCATACCAGTACTCATAACGTTTTTAATATGTTACATTTTAACAAGTTACCTTTAAGCATGTTACATTTTAAAAGGTTACAATTTTACATGTTACATTTTTACATGTTACATTTTAATATGTTACATTTTAACACTTTACATTTAAGCATGTTACATTTTAAAATGTTACATTTTAACACGTTACATTTTAACATGTTACATTTTAACTTCTTATATTTCCACATGTTACATTTTTACATGTTACATTTTAACATGTTTTACGATCAAGTCATTCCCTTGCAACTGACCTGGTAGCCTCGTCTAGTATGAGGATGGATGGGATTTTCAGTAGAGCGCAGGCGATAGCTATCCTCTGTTTCTGGCCCCCAGACACGGTAACTCCTCTCTCCCCCAGAATGGTAACTGTCAGCATTGGCCAGCCCAGCAGCCTCGTACACCTGTGACAAAGATTAATTAAATTAGTAATACCAAACTAGTGACAGGTAATACAAACAAAGTAACATAGAATCAAACCAGCTACCTTCTAATTACAAGGCGAGTAAAGCAGTACTATAATCACTCAACCACCAAGCTGACATAAAAACTTTTACTCATACCAGTACTCATAACGTTTTTAATGTGTTACATTTTAACAAGTTACCTTTAAGGATGTTACATTTTAAAAGGTTACAATTTTACATGTTACATTTTTACATGTTACATTTTAATATGTTACATTTTAACAAGTTACATTTAAGCATGTTACATTTTAAAATGTTACATTTTAACACGTTACATTTTAACATGTTACATTTTAACTTCTTATATTTCCACATGTTACATTTTTACATGTTACATTTTAACATGTTTTACGATCAAGTCATTCCCTTGCAACTGACTTGGTAGCCTCGTCTAGTATGAGGATGGATGGGATTTTGACAGGTAATACAAACAAAGTAACATAGAATCAAACCAGCTACCTTCTGATTACAAGGCGAGTACAGCAGTACTATAATCACTCAACCACCAAGCTGACATAAAAACCGTCGCCGCCGCCGCCGCCGCCGCCGCCGACGTCGTCGTCGTCGTCGTCGTCGTCGTCGTCGTCGTCGTCGTCGTCGTCGTCGTCGTCGTCGTCGTCGTCGTCGTCGTCGTCGTCGTCGTCGTCGTCGTCGTCGTCGTCGTCGTCGTCGTCGTCGTCGTCGTCGTCGTCGTCGTCGTCGTCGTCGTCGTCGTCGTCGTCGTCGTCGTCGTCGTCGTCGTCGTCGTCGTCGTCGTCGTCGTCGTCGTCGTCGTCGTCGTCGTCGTCGTCGTCGTCGTCGTCGTCGTCGTCGTCGTCGTCGTCGTCGTCGTCGTCGTCGTCGTCGTCGTCGTCGTCGTCGTCGTCGTCGTCGTCGTCGTCGTCGTCGTCGTCGTCGTCGTCGTCGTCGTCGTCGTCGTCGTCGTCGTCGTCGTCGTCGTCGTCGTCGTCGTCGTCGTCGTCGTCGTCGTCGTCGTCGTCGTCGTCGTCGTCGTCGTCGTCGTCGTCGTCGTCGTCGTCGTCGTCGTCGTCGTCGTCGTCGTCGTCGTCGTCGTCGTCGTCGTCGTCGTCGTCGTCGTCGTCGTCGTCGTCGTCGTCGTCGTCGTCGTCGTCGTCGTCGTCGTCGTCGTCGTCGTCGTCGTCGTCGTCGTCGTCGTCGTCGTCGTCGTCGTCGTCGTCGTCGTCGTCGTCGTCGTCGTCGTCGTCGTCGTCGTCGTCGTCGTCGTCGTCGTCGTCGTCGTCGTCGTCGTCGTCGTCGTCGTCGTCGTCGTCGTCGTCGTCGTCGTCGTCGTCGTCGTCGTCGTCGTCGTCGTCGTCGTCGTCGTCGTCGTCGTCTTCTTCTTCTTCTTCTACATTTTTACATTTTACATATTTACATGTTACATTTTAACATTTTTTAAGATCAAGTCTTTCCCTTGCAACTGACCTGGTAGCCTCGTCTAGTATGAGGATGGATGGGATTTTCAGTAGAGCGCGGGCGATAGCTATCCTCTGTTTCTGGCCCCCAGACACGGTAACTCCTCTCTCCCCCAGAATGGTACTGTAGCCATCAGGGGAACTGTCGGATAAAACTGTCAGCATTGGCCAGCCCAGCAGCCTCGTACACCTGTGACAAAGATTAATTAAATTAGTAATACCAAACTAGTGACGGGTAATACAAACAAAGTAACATAGAATCAAACTAGCTACCTTCTGAATACAGCAGTACTATAATCACTCAACCACAAAGCTGACATAAAAAACTTTTACTCATACCAGTACTCATAACGTTTTTAATATGTTACATTTTAACAAGTTACCTTTAAGCATGTTACATTTTAAAAGGTTACAATTTTACATGTTACATTTTTACATGTTACATTTTAATATGTTACATTTTAACACTTTACATTTAAGCATGTTACATTTTAAAATGTTACATTTTAACACGTTACATTTTAACATGTTACATTTTAACTTCTTATATTTCCACATGTTACATTTTTACATGTTACATTTTAACATGTTTTACGATCAAGTCATTCCCTTGCAACTGACCTGGTAGCCTCGTCTAGTATGAGGATGGATGGGATTTTCAGTAGAGCGCAGGCGATAGCTATCCTCTGTTTCTGGCCCCCAGACACGGTAACTCCTCTCTCCCCCAGAATGGTAACTGTCAGCATTGGCCAGCCCAGCAGCCTCGTACACCTGTGACAAAGATTAATTAAATTAGTAATACCAAACTAGTGACAGGTAATACAAACAAAGTAACATAGAATCAAACCAGCTACCTTCTAATTACAAGGCGAGTAAAGCAGTACTATAATCACTCAACCACCAAGCTGACATAAAAACTTTTACTCATACCAGTACTCATAACGTTTTTAATGTGTTACATTTTAACAAGTTACCTTTAAGGATGTTACATTTTAAAAGGTTACAATTTTACATGTTACATTTTTACATGTTACATTTTAATATGTTACATTTTAACAAGTTACATTTAAGCATGTTACATTTTAAAATGTTACATTTTAACACGTTACATTTTAACATGTTACATTTTAACTTCTTATATTTCCACATGTTACATTTTTACATGTTACATTTTAACATGTTTTACGATCAAGTCATTCCCTTGCAACTGACTTGGTAGCCTCGTCTAGTATGAGGATGGATGGGATTTTGACAGGTAATACAAACAAAGTAACATAGAATCAAACCAGCTACCTTCTGATTACAAGGCGAGTACAGCAGTACTATAATCACTCAACCACCAAGCTGACATAAAAAACCGTCGTCGTCGTCGTCGTCGTCGTCGTCGTCGTCGTCGTCGTCGTCGTCGTCGTCGTCGTCGTCGTCGTCGTCGTCGTCGTCGTCGTCGTCGTCGTCGTCTTCTTCTTCTACATTTTTACATTTTACATATTTACATGTTACATTTTAACATTTTTTAAGATCAAGTCTTTCCCTTGCAACTGACCTGGTAGCCTCGTCTAGTATGAGGATGGATGGGATTTTCAGTAGAGCGCGGGCGATAGCTATCCTCTGTTTCTGGCCCCCAGACACGGTAACTCCTCTCTCCCCAGAATGGTACTGTAGCCATCAGGGAACTGTCGGATAAAACTGTCAGCATTGGCCAGCCCAGCAGCCTCGTACACCTGTGACAAAGATTAATTAAATTAGTAATACCAAACTAGTGACGGGTAATACAAACAAAGTAACATAGAATCAAACTAGCTACCTTCTGAATACAGCAGTACTATAATCACTCAACCACAAAGCTGACATAAAAAACTTTTACTCATACCAGTACTCATAACGTTTTTAATATGTTACATTTTAACAAGTTACCTTTAAGCATGTTACATTTTAAAAGGTTACAATTTTACATGTTACATTTTTACATGTTACATTTTAATATGTTACATTTTAACACTTTACATTTAAGCATGTTACATTTTAAAATGTTACATTTTAACACGTTACATTTTAACATGTTACATTTTAACTTCTTATATTTCCACATGTTACATTTTTACATGTTACATTTTAACATGTTTTACGATCAAGTCATTCCCTTGCAACTGACCTGGTAGCCTCGTCTAGTATGAGGATGGATGGGATTTTCAGTAGAGCGCAGGCGATAGCTATCCTCTGTTTCTGGCCCCCAGACACGGTAACTCCTCTCTCCCCCAGAATGGTAACTGTCAGCATTGGCCAGCCCAGCAGCCTCGTACACCTGTGACAAAGATTAATTAAATTAGTAATACCAAACTAGTGACAGGTAATACAAACAAAGTAACATAGAATCAAACCAGCTACCTTCTAATTACAAGGCGAGTAAAGCAGTACTATAATCACTCAACCACCAGCTGACATAAAAACTTTTACTCATACCAGTACTCATAACGTTTTTAATGTGTTACATTTTAACAAGTTACCTTTAAGGATGTTACATTTTAAAAGGTTACAATTTTACATGTTACATTTTTACATGTTACATTTTAATATGTTACATTTTAACAAGTTACATTTAAGCATGTTACATTTTAAAATGTTACATTTTAACACGTTACATTTTAACATGTTACATTTTAACTTCTTATATTTCCACATGTTACATTTTTACATGTTACATTTTAACATGTTTTACGATCAAGTCATTCCCTTGCAACTGACTTGGTAGCCTCGTCTAGTATGAGGATGGATGGGATTTTGACAGGTAATACAAACAAAGTAACATAGAATCAAACCAGCTACCTTCTGATTACAAGGCGAGTACAGCAGTACTATAATCACTCAACCACCAAGCTGACATAAAAACCGTCGTCGTCGTCGTCGTCGTCGTCGTCGTCGTCGTCGTCGTCGTCTTCTTTTACATTTTTACATTTTACATATTTACATGTTACATTTTAACATTTTTTAAGATCAAGTCTTTCCCTTGCAACTGACCTGGTAGCCTCGTCTAGTATGAGGATGGATGGGATTTTCAGTAGAGCGCGGGCGATAGCTATCCTCTGTTTCTGGCCCCCAGACACGGTAACTCCTCTCTCCCCCAGAATGGTACTGTAGCCATCAGGGAACTGTCGGATAAAACTGTCAGCATTGGCCAGCCCAGCAGCCTCGTACACCTGTGACAAAGATTAATTAAATTAGTAATACCAAACTAGTGACGGGTAATACAAACAAAGTAACATAGAATCAAACTAGCTACCTTCTGAATACAGCAGTACTATAATCACTCAACCACAAAGCTGACATAAAAAACTTTTACTCATACCAGTACTCATAACGTTTTTTAATATGTTACATTTTAACAAGTTACCTTTAAGCATGTTACATTTTAAAGGTTACAATTTTACATGTTACATTTTTACATGTTACATTTTAATATGTTACATTTTAACACTTTACATTTAAGCATGTTACATTTTAAAATGTTACATTTTAACACGTTACATTTTAACATGTTACATTTTAACTTCTTATATTTCCACATGTTACATTTTTAC